CAAGACAAGGCAGTAATGTTAAACTGCCTTGAAAGTTTGTAAAATGTTTGCTCTCAATTGCTATACTTGTCGCAGACCAGCCATCAACAGTTAAAGACCCAGCGCTAGCCCGCAGACCACCAGTTGAGTAGCACTGGCTTCACCCATCAAGGATGTTATTCTGGCTTGGTCCCTCACCAACCCTGGCTAGAGGCTGTACAGAGGATTCTGGTTGCCTAAAGCTGACTATATTGTCTCATCTGGCTAAAGTGACCCTTCATGCTAGGTTTGATTTAATCTCCTAAAAGAGAATTAAGTCTTTACTAAGCTTACCAAAACAGCTGGACTATGCCACCTTGCTTAATAAATTCTTACTACACTTTTTGGACTGAGTCTTGCCTTCATTATAATCTGACAGCTGGGTTACAGGGAAGCAGCTAATGCTCATTAGTACCTATTATTCTCTGTTTAAAAAAAAAACAACAAACCCTAAGAGCTATGCATGACAAAATTGGCCTCGGTTAATTTGTAAAGTAATATAGAGCCATAATTTTAAAATAAGTGTGTGACTACAGTGTGTTGAATCGTTTTAGGGGGATGTTTTATCCTGTATAGGGAGGGCCTCCTGGAGAGAAGTGTCATGATCTTCTCCCAGCTGTCTCTGAGGATGGCACCACAGCTAAAGATGCTATTCTCAAGAAAGCAAATCCAGAACGGGACCAGGGTTTATTCTCATGTAATCAGGATATGTGAACATCAGTATAGCATGCACTGAAAAAAGTAAGAGTATCTTACTTGTTTACACCATTTTAAGATATAAGGGCTCAAGAATCAGTATGGAATATAGTTATTCCAAAGAGATTGTAATATAAAATATCCCAAATTTTATCTTCCCAAAATATTAAAAAGATTCACCTTAGTACAAGGATGGTCCCACATATATTCAAACTTCTAATAGGATCTCTGTGGAAACTTAATTCTTTTTAAGAGAACTTCTAGTTAAATTCTTCAAAAAATCATTTTTATAGAATATGATTTTCTGGAAAGCTATAATTTAAGAGTAACAAAAGAAGGCAGCATCCGAGGCTTAGATTTGCCACTGCCCACTGATGATGGCAGCTGGAGAACTTTTAACTGCAGCTGCTGCTGCACCTCCTCGCCGGGCAGTGAGAGGGTACCTCCCTGTCACAGAGCTCTTCAATTCAGAGGGCAAGAGTCGCTGCCTGGGAAGAGTGCCAACCTGGAACCTAACAGCATCACCCTGAATATGGAATAGAATGAGACCCAAATCTTCCATACATCGGAGCTGCAATTAACTCTGCGTTCATAGCCACCCGTTTTAATTCAGTCGATGCTAGTCACTTACCCACCTGGGAAATGTTTATCTTTGTATATATCATAGTATCTAACATACTGCCTGATAATATGGTAAGCACATAACAAATAATTATATTTTCAAATGTATTATGTGATTATGTATTGTTGATAACTATTTCATGTTTTAATCATTAGAACCAGGAAGATAACAAAGTTATTAGTAATAATTATATTTCTCTAAAAACAACTTTACTTATATAAAATAAATTTGCATTCTTGTTCTTTCATTCATTCACTCAAATATTTAGAGAGTACCTATACATCTAGCACTAGCACAGGGACTGATAAATTCTGGATATTACAGAGAGAAAGTGGTAACATCCAAGTTAGCTTTCCAAGAGCTAAGATGTTACAGGGGAGAAAAAGTAACAGATACTTGTAAAAATAATAATAAGTTCAAGTGCATAATCTCAAAGAAAATTAGATTCCCCTTAAGGGTTCCTATAAACCATCATTTTATGTCTGACAGAATCAAATAACAAAACAGACAAAATAAATTTCAGAAGAAACGTATCAGTAAAGTATTACAGGGTTAGACAGTATTTTTCTAAAATGTGTTTGGTCCAGGGGAGGATTATCATTCAAACTACAGGTAATCTGATAGTAGTAACTAAAATGATATAACTCAAAATGATATCAGAACTCAACTCTTGGCTTTGGAAGAACAAAAGTTGCCATGATATTGTCAAAAATGATGACTTTAATAGTGACAGAGAAGGTATAATAAAGTACAGATTTTCTTTATGGCTCAATTTCTGATTTTTTTTTTTTAACTTTTTGTCCCCTACATTACCTTCTGTCTCCACGCTCCACTCTCAGCGCTAGAAAAAATAAGGCCATTACACAAATGGGACTCCCGGACAAACCTCCTGGACCTGAGGTTTTCCACCCTCAGCTCACTTCTTTCCTGTATAGATGTGCTGACCCCCTACCCTGACCACAGCACTTAGTTTGCACCTCTCTATGCAAATATCTGCACACACCCTCTCGTGCATTAGAACTATGACCTTACTCCACCAATTTAGCCAGAAGAATGAAACACTGGCATGAATCTTCAAGTTTTGTATCTTTACCATACAAATAACCAGACTCTAACATGACACAGCTTCCATTTGATAGAAAATATGTAAGTCAGCTCTTTCTTCTCAAAGAGGAGGGGAGCAGCCCCCCCCCCCCCCCCCCAGCACCAGAAAATGCAGAGATGCAGGTCTCTCTGTAAGACCCTGACTGGCGAGGCAGTCTGCCTTGAGGTTGAGCCTGGTGACACCACTGGGCATGTCAAAGCTAAGACCAAGACGAGGAGGGCATCCCGCCTGACCAGCAGTGTCTGGGTTTTTACAGCAAACAGCTGAAGGATGGCTGCACTCTCAGACTACAACATTCAGAAAGAGTCCACCCTGCACTTGGTGCTTCATCTGCAGGGCAGCATCACCAACCCCTCCCTCTGCCAGCTCACCCAGAAGTACAAACGCGACAGGATGATCTGCCGCAAGTGTCATGCCCACATGCACCCCTGCACTGTCAGCTGCTTCGAGAAGGTGTGCAGGCACACCAACAACCTGCACCATAAGGCAATGGGTAAATAAAGCCCTTCTACTGCCTCCTGGACCTGCAGGGTGGCCTTGGGGCCTCAGCAAAGCTTCCCTTCTATGACTGGAAGGAAAAAAAAAGAAAAGGAAACACAGCAACACCAAAGGGCGAAAGGGAGGGAAAGAACACTGACACATCCTGGACAAGGAGGGGCTGTATTCCGGTGAAGAACTGGCCCAGGCTCAAGTCAGTCTCATTCCACATTGTGGCATATTAACTAAAACGTAAAGGGGCACAGCACTGAAACACCACCTTCCGTGCTACCTCACAGCATGAAGGAACAGAATCAATTTCTCTACATTTGATTTGTCGAGAACTTTAAGAAAAATGAGAAAGTTCTACACTTAAAACTTCCTTACCTCCTTCATTCCTACATCTAAGGAAGCACAAAAGTGCCTTTCACCCTCTCCAAACGCCTTTGTCTGTATACATAATCCAGTTCAGTTTCACCCACCAATATATTTCCAATCCTTATGCCTCTGCCTCTAAAAAAGCTCAAATTAAAAAATAAATTCTTTCTATTCTCTAAAGATTATCTCTCTTAATTTATAGCCCAACTCCTCAAGAGAGTAATCTTCCTGGAGCAAAACTGACTCTTTTCTAACCCAGTCTCCAATTTTCCACTCTGCTGAAGTAGTTCACCCAGCCCAGTATTATTTCTCCTGAAGGGATCGGACGCAGTTGCCAGTATCACAGCCCACAGTCATAAAACCATCACGTCTGACTATTTCCCTGATGATTCCTCTGCCGCCCCCTATGTCCCAAACATAGACACGACTACTCACCTTCTGTGACCTCATGCACTCTCACCCCTTCAACTGAAGCTTCTTTTTCACCTTGTATTTCTATCCCCAACCACTCTTCGGAACTTCCAAATCCACAGTTACAAAGAACTTCATCAGAATAGGCTGGAAGCCAGTGTTCATAACCATTCCCACACTCGCTACTTCCTATCCCTGCTTGTTATTCCCACAACTACCATTCAGGCCTTCACTCCTTCCTGGCTGCAATGCATTACACGCTGGTCCCAAAACAACCTTCCTAATGCCTATCTATATCTATTTCTCATCTCTGCTGCTGACTTCAGTGGCTCTCCTTCTCCTTTACCACTGAATTAAGTGTAATTAGATTCTTCACACTAAAAATAACTTACCACACTTTTTATATAATGAAAACTCCAGACAAGCTGGACAAAATTATCTACTTTATAAACAACTATATGGTCTACTCCTGCGCCTTTGTTGATTCTTTTCTCTACCTACAATCTTCTCTCATATCTATCCCAATTCTTAGAGCCTTGCATGCCAAAGGAAATTAAGGTTGCAAATGATATTAAGATTGCAAATCCACTGACATTAAAATTGGGAGAGTATCCTGTATTATTCAGGTGCCCCCAGTGAATTGCAATATAATCACTTACATGAAGAAAAGGCAGAATCAGAGGGAGATGTTACTATGGAAGACACAAAGAAATAAAATGTTGCTGGCTCTGAAAATGGAAGATGGAAATCATAAGCAAGAAATGTGGGTGGCCAACAGATGCTAAAAAAGCAAGTAAACAGATTTCTCCCCCAAAACCTTAACTTTAACATAGTAAGACAGGTATTAAGATTTCTAACCTCCAGAACTATAAGAGGAACATTTTCAAATATGTATTTCAGATAGTTAATAATCAAAACATGGTTTGTATCTTGGGCAATATTTACTACAACCCTACTGAAAAAAGTCCAAAATGATGAGCACTTAACCATTCCGCACAATAAAATACTCTCTTTTTTTTTAAAGATTTCAATCAAGGGCATAGCTGGATAATAAAATCCAAGTTTATTACCAAAAAGAAGTTAGAATTATATCAATCAAAGATATAAAACTCTGCTGTGAACATAAGTATACAGGGAACATTTTAGAGGGAACGATAATCATGTGCTTCAGAGCTTTTTGATTTTGGTTGCCATGCCAATGTACAACTACTCTTCCATGTCACATGTCCAGGAAAAAACAGGAAGGCATGGAGTATACTGCATATTTAATGAGTAGATCTGAGAGCAGCTTACCCAGTATTGATGGAAATGATTTCTATCAGTGGATTCTTCCTAATCTTTGGCAAATCCAACGGCGCTCCCCCCAGCCGTTTTCCATTGTCCTTTTTCTGACCCAGCAGTCTCACAGAGTGACCTTCAAATAAGCACATAAACATATATTATATTAGCATGAGTCCCGCAATTTCACTTTAATTTACTGTTCTCAACGAATGTGTTAATATTTGTAATAACTTTTCCTTTTATTGGGGGGTGGGAATAAAACTAGACAAGATGTGATCACTGAACCTAAGAAATAATGCCAAAGGGAAAAATGACTGTTCATACCCTAGAGTCAAAAATGCTTTGCTTTTAACATTGTCACATTTTACTGCACAGATGAGAGAAACAAATATCCTCAGAGTATCTTTCTACAAGGTGCAAGGGCTCACTAGCATAGACCAGATACTATATGAAGCAGGAAGGGTTCACTTGGGCACTAGGCCTGCTGGCCAATTTTGCACTACAGGGAAAAAAGTGCAAAAGTAGATTATCTGCTCAAAGCAAACAGTAAATCAAAGAAGAAAAAACACACAGAGATTTTTTTAAAAGCTTCAGTGCAACTAAAAAAATCATCAGCAAGATGAATAGGGAACCCACTGGATGGGAGAACATTTTTGCCAATGAAACATCTGACAAGGGTTTAAATCTCCAAAATATACAAAGAACTAATACAATTGAATGCCAGGAAGACACACAATCCAATTAAGAAATGGGCAAATGACCTAAATAGACACTTCTCCAAAGAGGACATACAGAAGACCTATAGACATAAGAAAAAATGTTCAACATCACTAATCACCAAAGAAATGCAAGTTAAAACCTCAATGAGACACCACCTTATACCTGTCAGAATGACTACCATCAGGAAGTCAACAAACAAGTGCTGGTGAGAATGTGGAGAAAAGGGAACCCTAGTGCACTGCTGGTGGGAAGACAGTCTGGTACAGCCACTGTGGAAAACAGTCTATTAAAAGATAAAAAATACATTAAAGGATAATATTCTTTAAAAAACTAAAAATGGCTTTCCCTTTTGATCCAGCAATTCCACTTCTGAAAATATACCCCATGGACCCCAAAATGTCACTACAAAAAAAATATATGCACCCTTATGTTTGTAGCAGCACTAGTTACCATTGCTAAAATTTGGAAACACTCTAAAGTGCCAATCAATAAATGAGTAAATGAAAAAACTATGGTCCATGTATACAACGGAATACTATGCAGCAGTAAAAAGAAGAAACTCTTACATTTTGCAACAGCATGGAAGGACCTAGAGAAAATTATGCTACGTGAACCAAGCTAGGCAATGAAAGAAAAATACCACATGATACTCATTTATATGTGAAATCTAACGAACACAATAAACTAATGAAGAAAATAGTAACAGAAGCTTAGAAACGTAACAGACACCAAGAACAGTCAGAAAGGTGGGGGGACGGCATGAAAGATGGTGAAGGGATGAACCAAAGAACATTTATGCACAGCCCATGATGGGGACAACAATGTATGGATTGGCTAGGATGAGGAGAAAAGGAGGGGACAACTGTAACAGCATAAAAAATAAAATTTTTTTAAAATGTAGAGTTAAATTGTCAACTTCCAGGAAGGTGTTAGAACATGCAACACATCATAAATATTTTAATGACGGAATCCTTTTTTATTTTATACCTGTTAATATCTCTGGGAATACCACATGTGGTGTGTATGTATGTACACATATGTACACAAAAAGAGTTAGGGAATGTTTTGCTATGCCACAGCACATTAAAGTTAGAACATACATATCTATTGAGGATGATTTAGAAAATACCAAAGAGCACAAATAGTAATGAAATCACCATTAGCCAACTAGACAACCCACTTCTGTATCCACATGTGCATTCACCAATCAATTCCTTTCTTTAGTATTCTTACTTGTAAAATGCTGATAGAAATCAGAATTTCACTCAAATACTAAAGGATTAGGAAACTCAGCTTACAATCGAATTGAAAGCAGCACTCCTTTATCATCTCCTAGATTTGAAGACAGCTGGGCCTGCTGAGAAGGCCGTACTGATTTAGGTTCTAGTCACAGGCAGCGAGGCCTGTGGATTATGGCTGTTGATTCCGGCATTGGATGTTTGCACCATTTCTTCCGTCCCCCTTAGTAATAATACTCTTTGGTGAGAAGACATTTTACTAATGATCTCAATGGCAATTTCTTTCAAAAAGCTTTGCTTACATGCCTCACCAAACTAAGGGGGTTGGCACTTGAATGCAGATAAGCCCTTGGGCCTTTGAAAGCGAAAGCTGAGCTGAGTGACCCAAGGAGCTGAGCTATTCTAACGACAATTTCGAAAAACACTCCAGTTCCTACTGCCTTGTTTTCTGGAGCCACCCAGGTTTTCTAGTTACTCTGTATCCCTACAACTGATTTTCTTTCTCCTTAAATCAGTCCGAGTTGACTAAATCCAAGTAACTCTAAATTGCATTGATTGTACTATTTGTATGGCATTTACTAAAGGAATGCTGTTAATAAAAGTGATTTCTGAAAGTTAACATAATCATTAAATGACAAAGTATTTCTAAAAAGTAAAAAAAATTAAAAACCACTTTAGGACTGGGTTTTTAAAAATATATATTTTTTAACTTTAATTACAAAAGAAAATTAGACCATTTCTAAAACCATTAAAATTTTTATACTTTTGAAAGTCTAAATCAATTGTAAGTTGCAGAACAGATGTAAAAACAGTACAAACATCCACCCCCTTTAGCCTCCCCAATTATTATTTTCTGCTTACTTTGTCATTGCTTATTATATACATACATATTTTTTATAACTTTACTAAGGTACATCCTAAAAATTTTCCCATTGTGAATAAACAATTCAATTATTTAAATAAACCTATACAGTTGTGCAATCGTCACAAAAACCCAGTTTTAGAACATTTCTATCACCGCCCTAAATTCCCTCAGGCTTATTTACAGTACATCTCCTCTCTGATACCAAATATACCACATTAATGATCTGTTGACCAGCTGATGGCATTTGGATTGTTCCTAATTAATACCTAGTATAATAATGTCTCTCTGAAGATTTGCATACAGGTCTTCATGTGGATGCTATTGTTTCTCTCAGATTCCTACGAATGGAATCACTGGGTCATGTGGTAAATGTATATTCAACATTATGAGAAAAAAAACTGTTTTCCAAACTGGTGATACCATTTTATATCACGAAAAGCAATGTATGGGTGTTTCTCCACATTGTTGCTAAGATCTTGTATAACATTTTTGACAACAGCCATTCTAATGAGTGTGTGTGGTACACCATTGTAGTTTGAATGAATATGCATAATGACTTAATATGTTGAGTACCTTTTCATGTGATTATAAGCCGACTGTAATATCCTGCTTGGCAAAATTCTGTGACAGTTAATTTTATGTGTCAACTTGACAGGGCCACAGGATGCCCAGACCTTTAGCCAAGTATCATTTTGAATGGACCTGTGATGAAACTAACATTTGAATCAGTACAGTAAGTAAAGCAAATTACTCTCCCTAACACTGGTGAGCCTTACCCAATCAATCGAGACCTGAAGAGAACAAAAAGGCTGAGCAGGAGGAAACTCTTCCTACCTGACCTTAGAGCTGGCTCCTTGGTCTCTTCCAGCCTTGGGACTCAAAAGGAAATACCAGCTCTTCTTAGTTCTCAGGCCTGCCCAGTTGTAAGCTAGCGCTTAGACCATCAGCTGTCCTGATTCTCAGGCTTTTGAACTCAGACTGAAACTACACATTAGCTCCCCCAGGTCTTCAGCTTGTGGAACTGAGATCCTGGGTAATTCTCAGCCTCCATAATGGTGTGAGCAATTCCTTATAATACATCTCTTCACATAAATACACACACATAATTGGTTCTGCCCCTCACTAATAAAAAACATCTACTCCAGTGTTTTGGCAGTATTTTAATTGGAGTACCTGTCTTATTACAGAGCTCTAAGAATTCTTACACATTCTGCTTATTAAAAATTGAATATAGGACTTCAAAATATTTTCTCTCAGTCTATGACTTATAGTTTCACTTTCATAATGCCTTTTGAAAAAGCAAATGTTTTTCAATTAAATGAAGTTCAAGTTATCAATTTTTTCTTGTTTTGTTTTGTCTTTGTTTTTGTCAAGTTATCAATTTTGTCTTATATGTCTTATGCTTTTGCTGTTTTACCTAAGAACTCTTTGCCTAGTCCAAGGTTACAAAGATTGCTCCTACATTTTCTTTTAGAAGTGTCCCTGTTTTAGCTTTTATATTTAGTTGTAGGGTCTTCTTCGTTAATTTTTGTGTAAAGGTTTAAATTCATTTTTTCTATATGGAGGTTCAATTGTCCGAGTGCCATTTCTCTTCCTTCTTCCTTTGTGCTGTATGTTGTCACACATATTAATATATAGTTGTATAAACACAAAAATATACTGCTATGACTATTGCTTTATACAACTGGGTGTTTTTAAAGAGAAAACTGTGAAAAATAAATATTTACATAGTACTTTACATTTATCCACATAATTACCATTTCTAGCACTGTACATGTCCTCCTGAGAAGTCAAGTTATCACTTGGTAGCACTTCCTGCCTGCCTGAAGAACTTTTTCTCGTAAAGGAAATTTTATAGCAACAAACTGTTTATTTGGGAATGTCCTTATTTTGCTTCATTTGTGAAGGATACCTTTGCTGGATGTAGAATTGTTGACTTTTTTTTTCTTTGAGTACTGAATATATCATTCCACTGCCTGTGACCTCTCTCGCTTCTGGTAAGAAGCCCATTATTAATCTTAATGTTGTTCCCTGTTACATAAAATGTCACTTCTTTCTTATGCTTCCAAAATTTTCTTTCCATAGTTTGAGTATGATATGTCTAGGTGTGGATCTCTGTGACTTTCCTACGTGCAATTCATGTAGATTTTTTGCATCTATAATGACTTTCATCAAGTTTGGGAGGTTTTCACATTCAGTGTTCTTCTGGGGGGACGGGGTGCTTTTCCTGTGTCCTCTCCTTCTGTGACCCCCATGACACACTTGGTACACTAAATATTATCCATGGGTCTCCGCGGTCCTGTTCATGTT